CAGACTTCAAGGGTGGAATCAAAGGATCATAGACATACAATTTAAATCGTAGATTTCTAGCTGGAAGGAACCTCAGAGGTCATTGAGTCCGAAAGCTTCATTTTACTGATGAGGAAATTGAGGCCAAGAAATGTGAAGTGACTTGCTTGGTTACATGGCTACTTAAGTGTTTGGGGTAGGATTTGAACCTAGGCATTCCTGATTCCAAGTCTAGTACTTTATCCACTATTAGGTCTGAGCCAATGCCGATTGACTTTTTTCTGCTTTGGCTTTTTTTTTGGTAATTCATTCTCATTCAACCCATTTCTACCTGCTATGCCAACCCCTCCTACCTTACATTCTGAGTGCCCTCCCCTTTCCTATACCCAGGGCAATCTCAAGGGCCCTCTCTAGGAGATGAAGAATGGGGGCTAATTATAATTTGCCCCTCTATTCAGGTAAAATTCTGCAGTTCGGGAATGAACAGAGGGAAGCCTCAGAAGGGAAGATCCAGGAGTTTGAAAGTGGGGGTAGTGGTGGCAACTAAGAGTGACTCCAACTCCCCAATTACAAGTATATGACCTTCTGATCTGACTATGGCATCCACCCCAAAGCTGACATGCCCTTGGACTTTTATCAGAGTCTAAATTGAAAGACCTGAACAGGAAGGATCCTTAGAAACAAGAATGTCAGAGCTAGAAGGGCTGTGAGAACTTGGAACCTAGAATGTCAGAGCTAGGCTGAGAGGCCATCTAATCCAACTCCATTCCCCTATTTGAGAGATGAATAAATGGAGGCACAGAGAGGGAACATGATTTGCCCAAGATTCAATGGCAGAGCAGAGACCTCAATCCAGATCTCATGACTCTCAATCTAAGGCTTTTTTTTCCTTCCTGTTGAACCACTCTGACACCCTGGATATTTAAGACCAGGATACAATCCAGGGTGGGGGCCTAGCTGAGGCAGATAGGTTAGACAGCAGAAGCAGCTGTCCTGGGTGGCTGGTCCCTTGTTAATTAAATGGATGCCAGAACTCCCTGGGGATCAGGGTATGGATAGAGAGGGGAGGATTACAAACCCTTGATGTTGCCTGCTGTTATGAATCAGGGGAAATTCTCTTTGTCCTATGACACATTTCTTCCTCTTGTCATTCGCAGAACCCTGGAATAGAATCCTAGAATCTTGGATTCATGGAATAGAACCTTAGAAAGATGGAACAATAGAATCATATAACAATTCATTTGTTCATTAGCAGATATTTGTTAAGTCCCTGCTCTATGGAACTTGCTATGCTCATCACTGGAGCAGATACAAAGATGGGCAACAATAATAAAGCATTTCTCTGGCTCTTTCAGCTTTACAAAGTGCTGTCCTTAAAATGATCCCATGAGGCAGGTAATCTGAGTGTTGGGAGGAAACTAGGACCTAGCGAAGGAAGTTACTTGGCCAAGGTTGTGAAGCTAGAGAGTAGCAGAACTGGTCCTGGGATGCAGACCCTCTGACACCAAACTGAGCTTTTTCCATTACCCTACCCTGCCCTTCAGGAACTTGTGAGGGGTAGGGAGGAGATGGAGTGGGGAAGGTCCAGAGATAAGGGAGTATTAGCCTTGCTGGACTCTACTCTGATCAGACTGAAGCCAAAAGCTTGGATTCAATAAGACCAACAATAATAATAGCTTTAAGGTTAGCAAAGTAATTCACATGTTACATCATTTGATTCTTCACAACAACCGTGCAAAGTGGGTGCTATTATTATCCCCATTTTTATAGATGAGGAAACTGAGGCTGAGAGAGTTTAAATTACTTGGCCAGTATCTCACAGCTAGGAAGTGTCTGTGGTGGGATTTGAACTGGGGTCTTCTTGCCTCCAGGTCCATTGCTCTAGCTAGCCACTGCACCACCCAGCACCTTTGTGGGCATATCCTTTTTGGAGATATTCTGACAAATGGGCATGCATCCAGAGGAGGAGGATGAGGACGGTAAGATAACAAGAGATTTTGCTTAGATGAGGATTGGTGAAGGAACCGTGCATTTTCAGCCTGGCTTAGAGGGGACATGATAAATGCCTTCAAGTATTTGAAAGCCTGTTTTGTGGAAGAGAAATTAGACTCATTCTACTTGTTGTTAGAGGGTGGAACTAAGAACAATGGGGAAAAGTAGCCAAGAGGCAGGTTTGGGGCTCTATGTAAGGAAAATCATATTGACAATTAGAGGTATCCAAAAAATGTACTGGGTTGCCTCGGGAAGCAATCTGTTGTTCCTGTCACTAGAGTCTTCAGCTGGAGACTGATCACTCATTGGAATTGTGTACCAAGGGTTCCAATATAGATTGGATCGAGTGACCTTTGAGGTCCCTTCCAGCTCTGAAATTCTATGACAGCTGGAAAGGACTTTAGAACATGGAACATTGGTGTTTGAAGGGATCTTGGAGACCAAAACTAGTCTAGGGACTCTCAAACTCTTTAACGTCATGGACCCCTTTGGCAGTCTGATGAAGCCTATGATGAAGCCTCTTCTCACAATAATGTTTTTAAATGCATAAAATGAAATACATAGAATTACAAAGGAAACAATTATATTGAAATCTAATTATCAATTTTTTTTAGGTTCATGAACTCCAAGTTCAAAACCACTTAATCCAACCACTTCCTTTTAGAGATGAGGAAACTGAGACCCAGGAGTACAGTGAGGCACTGATCCAAGGTCATACAGGGAGTTAGTGGGAGAGAATGAGCGAGAACCCAGGCCTCCTGATCCCCACTCCTAAATTTTTTCCATTCTACCATCTTGTCTAACCCCTTTCTGGGATTAGGCATTTCTGATTCTAGAGCAGAATTAGTTTCTCTGAGGTTTTCTCTACAGTTCCATAGTCCTTGCTTACCCCCAACTAAGCCAGTCTCCCTCTTCCCAAACAGTGTCTTTATTGGCCACATCCTCTGTAGGGCCCTGATGAAGCAGAGGCATTGAGTTCTGCAGCCAGCTAGGGCTAGGGCTGGGGCTGGGACTGGTACCATCCATCTCCTGGATGGGCTGCCTGGTACATGGTGCAACCTTCTTTGAGGGCTAGTAGGGGGAATTTGGGGTCAGTTAAGTGGCACAGTGGATAGAACACCACACCTGGAGTCAGGAAGACCTGAGCTCAAATCTCACCTGAGGCACTTATTAGTTGTTTGACCCTGGGCAAGTCATTTAAACTTGTTTGCCTCAGTTTCCTTAAAAAACCAACTCGGGAAGGAACTAGCAAAATCACTCCTGTATCTTTGCCAAGACAATTGCAAATGAGGTCACAAAGAATCAGACATGATTGAAACAACGGAACAACAGCAAAGGGGGGAGTTTTCAGAGGCCCTTGGCTCTAAATCTGGATGTGAGAAATCTTCAAGAGTCAGAAAGATGGTTGAGAGGGGGTAGAAAAATGACTTTCTGGCTATAGGGAGAATGTCATGACTTTCCTCAAGGCCCACCTCTTCCAGGAAGCTGGTAGTGTTTATCTGAAGAGGGACTATGTAGAGGACAGCCACCTTTTTTTAAAAAATAAGTTTTTATGTAAATCTTTGGTTTTTACATTGCCTAAAATTTCTCCTGTGTTCCTTTTCATCCTTCCTCCTAGAGATCCATTCCACATGACAACTAATAATTTTAAAAGAAAAAAATTAAAAAGAGAACAAAATCAGCAAAACTGATCAATACATTAAAAAAAATCTGAAAACACATGTACCTCCTCCCTCATCTCTTCAAAAGAACCCAGGGAGGAAGCACATTCACTTTTAAAGCTGGACTGATTCACCATCTCAAAAGGATTAGCAAAAACTCTAGGGTGAGCATTAACTTTAGGGCAGAGCATAGGCCCTGGGTCTATTACTCTGGGCAAGTGGAATCTGGGTTGGCGGAAGATTTCATGTAGGATTTCTAGTCTAGGTCAGCAATAGTTTCCTTGACATCCCCTCAATCCTAGAGAACCTGTGCCATCAGGAAATGAGGGTGGAGGGTGGCATTGAATGGCAAAGTCAGGGAACCAAAAAAATTAGACACAAGAAAGAAGAAAAGGGAGCAGGAAAGAAAAGATATTGAGTCTATAAGAGATACAAAGAGACTGAGACTGAGAGAGGCCAAGAAAGCTAGACAGATAGACCTGGGAAAAAATAAGAGAGAGACCCAGAAAAAAAGAGACATAGATGATTAGACAAGGTATTTGCTGGGTTAGGGATGGAAAGAGACATTGCAAGGCAGATAATGGTTGTGGGGAGAGAATGGGAATGATGCTTCTCATTGCCCTGGGGATGGATTGTTGCTCATTATCTTGGAGAGGTGCATACACAGCACTGACCTTGGCAGTACCTTCCCCGAGCCAGCTTGCTTGGAGTACAGTTTAGTGAGACAGTGAGCGTAGGGGAAATGGAGTGGATCACCACTTTCTTCTTATAGAATAGTTGGGCATATATTTGGACCTTGGGAGCCATTGTGTGTAAGTAGTCTGGGCCACAGGGGTTCCTGTGTGGGGACAAAAGGGTGGTGCTATGCCCTGGTTGGGAAGCCATTGCTACGTATATGGAAGGACTCAGGGATCGAGAAAGTCGGCTAAATCTTCAGGAATCACTCTTGTGTTGTGTGTTCAGTTTGAGGATGGGACTGAACCCTGAGGATCTGGGGATGGGATGTGGGAATTATTCTTTGTGTTGTATTGGGAAAAGGCAGAAGATGAACCTGGATGCATTGTAATATAAAGTTCCTTCCACAGAGAGGAGTAGGACACAGTTGTCCAGGTGCTCTGGTGCTACATGGGGAAAGGAAGGTCACTTTGGAATGTTAGGAAAGGACACTAAGTCCCTAGGGTTGTACCTTAGGCCGGAAGAGTTCACTTGGCCTCCACAGTGGGCCTTCTCCTGGCCTCATTTTTCTAGAAGAAGGCTTGGATCCAGCTGCCCCAGCCAGCCTATTACTGAAAGGTTACTAACCAGGAGCTGAGATTGAGAGAAAGCTCATCTTTCCTCTTCTCCCTTCCTTTTTATTCCAGGTTCAGGATGGGGAGCCCATCTTTCTGGGCTGCCCGAGGCCTGCTGCTCCAGCTGTTACTGCTCTGGGCCTGGGGGCAGGGTAAGTTGGTACCTGGGGAGATGGGGAAGAACCAAGGGCAGGAAGGGGTGGGGAATCTTTGCCCACCCTCTGATACTCTCTGTCTGCTCTCTCCCTTCCTGTGGCATTCTTTTCTTCCTTGGGTCCCAAGCCTGGGATCTGACTCTGGGCTGAAGGCCCAGGAGTCTTTGGAGAACTAGGTCTTGTCGGAATCCCCCTCTCCAGTTTAGAGAAGGAGCTGTAGCCATTTGTCTGCTTGAGTTGATGAGCTCCATTGCTGCCTACATACCTTCCCCAATTTCATGATACGATTTCAGATTTTGCCCCAAGTTCTTGCTTACACAGATCCTATTTATACCTTCTTTGCAATAAGTGTTTACATGTTGCCTCTTCATTAAACTGTGAGCTCCTTGAAAAAAGGGCTTGTTTTTTCTTTTCTTTGTATCCCCACTGCTTAGCATGGTCCTTAGCACATATCAGGCACTTAATAAATGCTTTTTGACCTGACTTCCCTGTCTCAGCCCACAAAGGTTCCCCTTTTGCTATGTCTAGACTTAAGTAACCTGTGGTGAGGACCTCCTTCCCAATGAGTTCCCAGGCCTGTCCTCAGGAAGCTCATTCCTAAGGCTCTAACCTCCCATATCCAAATACTGCCCCCATTAGATGCCTGCTACCACCATCCCATCTCTTTGCTTTATCATAGTCTTTAGACATAGATATTCATTTACAAAGAAAGAAAAAAAATGCTAGAAATGCTATATTGGCAAGAATATAGGCTGCCATTAAATATAGACTGCATTCCTAACAGGAAAACCATATATTCATATACTGAAAAATAATTGCACAAAATGACTGCACCCCCAGATTGGATTTACTTTGAAAGTTTCATGTGGTGTCTTGTACACGTGTTAATAGTGCTTTCTGTTCATGCAAAGGTGGGGGTTTTGATGATTGAAATGAATAAAACTCAGCTTGATTCTAGCCTCATTCAGGTTTTATACAAATCAGCTTTGGGGACAAGGGGTGACCTGTATCAGGACTAACATAGTAATACTATTTAAAAGGAAATATGGAAAACTGTCCCTCAATATTCTCTACTCTCCTGCCTGTTTTCCCTCCTAATCAGACTCTTAGCCTCCCTCTCCTGGGAGGTGGAGGAGATGGAAATGCTCAGACCTGCCCAGCTTCAGGGAGGGAAGGAAATGACCCTATGAGGCCTCTGAAGCTGCCAGAGAATATACTTATGCAAATCTATGCAAACTTGCACATGTCCTCATTAACACTGTCATGCACCTGATGGACCCTTCCAATGAAAGCCTCTGAGGGCTTGGGGGAGAGAAAGGGAGTGGGAATGGGAGTGGGGGTGGGGGAGGACACAACAAGCCTGCTATGATCGGTTACTGCTAGTACAAGGTATGCACAAGAAAAGGGTAAAGAGAAGGGGATGGTCTTATTAATTCAGCACATATTTAATGTATCTTCAACACAGAGACCTGTGTTGAATGCTGGCAGAGATATACAGTTTAGCTAAGACCTGGTCCTTGCCCTCTTTGAGGTTACAGTTAAGCGGACGGGTGACATCCACATAGATAACTTTGATAATTTTTTAAAATAATAATTTATAGGGCAGCTAGGTGGTACAGGGGATAGAGTTCTGGCCTTGGAGTCAGGAGGTCCTGAGTTTAAATCCTCAGATTTGGCCTCAGACACTTGACACTTACTAGCTGTGTGACCCTAGGCAAGTCACTTAAACCTGAATGCCTCACCAAAAAAAAAAGGCAAAAAATAAAATAAAATAATAATTTACGTATTAAATGATAAGTTAACCAGAGAGATGCAAAGTACTTAAGATCTGAGTGAGAAGGTCATTACTGACCAGAGGCATGAGGGAAGGCTTCACGGAGGAGGTGGCATTTGAGTTTGGTTTTAAAGGACAGATAGGAATCTAACACCAAAAGGCGATGGAATATAAGGAATCATGTGGATAAACACACAAAGGGAGAAGAGAACAGTGTATGTTTGAGGTGAGGAGCTCAGAGCACTTCAAAGAATGTCAAATCTAGAAAGAAATTGAGAGCTGTTCTAATCTCATCCTTTCCTTTCATAGATGTGAAAATATAGACCCAGAGAAGAGAAGGGATTAGATTCAAAACCAGGTTTACCTGATTGCTAGGCCTATGATCAAACATTGTGTTTAGACTCAGAGAATCTTGGTTTAAATTCTGCTTACTATTTAATAATAATAATAGCTACCATTTACATAGTGCTTATTAAACACGAGGCACTGTGCTAAGTACTTTACAAATATTATCTCATTTTATCCTTATAACAACCTTGGGAGGCAGATGCTATTATTATTCCCATTTTACAGATGAGGAAACTGAGGCAGACAGCAGTAAAATGACTTGTCCAGTGCCACACAGCTAGTAAGTATTTGAGGCCAGATTTGAACTCAGTGCTCTAGGCCCAGCACTCTACCCACTATGCCACCTAGCTGGCTAACAAGTCACTTAACCTCTCAGGGCATTGGTTTAATCATCTGTAAAATGAGATGATTTCTGAGGCCTCTTTCTGCTTTAGTTCTGTAATCCTGTGATCTCTCTCCTCCACCAAATGGCCTCATCCATGGGCCCCAGGGACCTGTCATCCAAAAGATGGCATTTCCCCTTCTTCCTTCTCATGAGGTTATAGAGCCAGGATAGCCCTGACTTGGAGCCTTTATATGGCTCCTCTCCACTCAGTGTGGATGACCATGCTCCTTGGCATTCTCTCTGTTGGTGGCAACTGTCCGGCTGCTCATTATTTCGTAAGCCAGCAAGGAGACAAATGAGGCTTCCAGCCCACCCTGCCAACAGCTCAGAGAGGCACTGCCTGGGTGTTGACCCCTGATTCCACTCACTTATCCTCAGCATCTTCTCTTCTCTGTCCCTGGTATTGGTCCAAAAGCCTCCTGAGCATTACCTCCTGCCCCTCTATCTTGGAATGATCTAGACAGGGGTGGGGAACCTGTGACTTTGAGGCCACATGTGGCCCTCTAGGTCCTCGAGTGTGGCCCTTTGACTGAATCCAAACTTCACAGAATAGTTTGGATTCAGTCAAAGAACCACACTCGAGGACCTAGAGGGTCACATATGGCCTCGAAGCCAGAGGTTCCCCACCCCTGATGGGATGACCTTTCTGCGCAGAGCAGGACAATACTGACATGGAGACAAGCAGTCTGGAGTTTCTTTTGAATTGGAAATGACTCTTACTCCACTTTACAGAAGCCAAAAACTAGCTCTCATCCCTGTGTACGACTCTGTTCCTCTATATGAGATAGTCTGCGAAATATGGGGGTGGAGCCCAGGAAGGGAACTTCTTTGTTAAGGGGAAGTCCTAAACGTTCTAGATAGGTCCCATGAGCCCAAGGGATAGAGGGTTAAGGCAGGGTTGGCTCTCAGGACGGTACTGAAGAGATAGGTGACTGAAGTAAGCCTGTCCCCATAGGTGTTTCAATGATCCTATGAAATCAATTTAAAGCTAGATGCCTTAGAGACCATTAAATTCAACCTCCTCTTTTTAAATATGAAAAACTAGGGTTGAGAGCTGTGTCTCAAGAATTTCAGCTCTCATCTTCTTAGCACTATCCACTATATGGCCTAGCTCTGCCTTACTAGGGAAATCTTTGACTGTGAGACCCTCAGAATTTCCCCCATTGGCCCAGGGGTCTTCTCTCTAAGAGCCCTCAGCCCTAGTACCTTTAGGGATGGCCCCAGCAGCTTGTTAATGTATCTGAGTTCTGGGAGGGGAGAAAGGGAAGTCATATCCCAATGACCGAGGAAGTTCAGATTCTGCTCCCAACTTTGCCACTGATTCAGTGTGTGACCTTGGCTAAGTCATGCATGCTTCCTCTCGATTCCCTCATCTATAAAATGAAGAAATTGGCCTGAGATCCCTTCCAGATCTGACATTCTTTGATTTAAAAATCAGATAATGCATGTGAAAACATCTTGGAAGTAAGCACTTTGGGAACATTAAACCCTCTATAAAAGTGAGGTGAACCCCAATAAGGGCAGGACAATTGGGATTTGTTCCTAGGATACTAAGTTAAGTGCTCATAAGACTTGTGTGGGTAGAAATAACTAATTTTGCCCCTAGTTATCCAGAATAATTAGTTAAAAATGGGAGGCTAACTATGGGAGCATCTTCTCCCCATCTCCTTCTTCCCAGGTGAGTGTGTGACTAGCTTAGCTGTGCTCTAGTCCCTCCTCACTCCCCGGCTATCTTCTCTTCCTCTCCCTCACCCCTGCCCCAGCAGAAGACTCAGAGATAACATCCTGGGGTTTTCACCCATATGGATTGATATCCTAGGACCTCTATCTCTTCACCACAGGGTCTTTGTGTCCTAAATTCCAAGGTCTCTCCTCCTACTTCACTGACTTGATCTTTAAAAGTTGATTCAAGAGCACTTCCATGTTGCTTCCCCTGGGCCCAACCATTACTAGCCACAGATGTGATTGTGGGGAATAGGATGGGGTTAGAGCTGGAAGGGTCCTCAGATCTTATCTAATCCAGCCCCCCTCCTTTTACAAATAGAGGGCTGACACCCAGAGAGATCGTATGACTCATCCAAAGTCATTGTGTGACTTCTTCCAGGACATGAAAGCTCCCAGCCCCAGCCCTAGCAGCGGCAAAGGTTGTGAGGCAGTTAGTTCGTGCAGGAGATAGAACACTAATGCTGGAGTTGGGAAGTTCAAATCCATCCACAGACACACCTTAGCTGTGTGACCCTGGGCAAGTCACTTAACTTCCACCTTGGTTTTGTTATCTGTAAAATGGGGGTAACAATGACACTTACCTCCCAGGGTTGTTATGAGAATCAAATGAGATCGTATTTGGGAAGTGTTATCTAAATGCTGGCTTGCTGACATTTGAAGACCAACACTCTCCACTGTGCCATGTTGTTCCTCAGGAAACAGCGCTAGGCTTGGAATCAAGAGTTCAAATCCCTACTCTGCCATTTACTGGTTATCTGATCTTGGGCAAGTCACTTACCTCTCTGAGCCTCAATTTCCAGTCTGAAAAGTAAGACTAGTAATATTTGTAATATCTACGTCAGGCATGGATGGCCTGTGTTCTGTACAATGGGGGCAAGAGCCATACTCAGGAGATCACAGATCCATAAGAGCAGGGGTCCCTCGCCTCTCTATGTGTCCTCCACCCCTTGAGCAATCACTCTGAGAAATACTGTGGATCCCCTCTCTCAGAATCATGTTTGTAAATGCATGAAATAAGGAAAGAAACAAACAAAATTTTAATTTGGTATTTTATTTTCTCCAGTTACATGTAAAAAATAACTTTTAACATTCATTTCTAAAACTTTGAGTTCCAAATTCTCTCCCTTCCTCCTTCCCCATCCCCCCTTATTGAGAAGGCAAGCAATTTGATATAGGAAACAAAAGTTTATTAAGCACCTACTATGAGCTAGGTACTATATTAAGCACTTTCCAAATATTATCTCATTTGATCTTCACAACAGCTCTGGCAAGTAGGTGCTCTTTTGATCCTCATTTTATAGTTGAGAAAACCGAGGCAGACAGAAGTTAAGTGATTTGCCCGGGGTCATATAACTAATGACTGTCTGAGGCTGGATTTGAACTCAAAGCTTCCTGATTTCAGGCCTAGCACTCTATCCATTGCGCCACCTAGTTACGTAAGGAAACCAATTATATTGAATTGCAGTTTTCAAAATATTTTAAAAGCAAGTTCGTGATAAACCCGAGCTGAAGAGATTATTGGCATATACATACCTCACCAGTTTATTGAAAGTGTTATGTAAACTTTGCAATACAATGCCGATATGAACTAGCAGTAGTAGTCAAGGGGGAGGGGAACAAGCATTTGAGCACCTACTATGTGCTAGGCACCATGCTAAATGCTTTTCAAATGTTATCTCTTTTGATCTTCACAGCAACATTAGGAGATGGGTACTATTATTATCCCTATTTAACAGATGAGGAAACTGAGGCAGACAGAGGTTAAGTGATTTGCCCAGGGTCACACAGCTAGTAAGTGTCTGAGGTCCCATTTGAACTCAAGTCTTCACAACTCCAAGGCCAGTGCTCTATCCACTGTGCCACCTATCTGCCTCTGGTCATGTTATAAATATGTTATTAACAAGCACCTGGCATACTGACTTGATAATAGGCATTCAATAGAGCTAGGTCTTGATTAGAGTGAATAATGAATCCCCTGAAGTCATAAGCATGTATTTGAATTTGCACTATTCAAAATTATAACGATGTAAAATATGGTTATTGGTTCCAGCTCAGTAAAAATATGCAATACTAATTTGAATAATTTGACCACTTCAGGGGATTTGTTATTCTAACAAATCAGGGCCTAGCTGTAAATATTTATTAAATTAAAAGATAGGGAAATAGTAAAAAAGATGGTTTAGTCGTGTCTGATTCTTTGTGACTTCATAGACAATATCACATCAATACTATCTATGGGGTTTTCTTGGCAAAGATACTGGAGTGGTTTGCCATTTCCTTCTCTGGTGGATTAAGGTAAACAGAGGTTAAGTGACTTGCCCAGGTTCACATAGCTAGTAAGTATCTAAGGCTAAATTTGCACTCAGGTCTTCCTGAGTATTCTATCCACAGAGCTCTATCTACTGTGCCACTTAGCTGCCTCCCTCATGATACCTGGGGTCAAACCCTACCTCCAACATTCTACTTTGGGCAGGTCATTTCCCCACTCAAGGACTTGGTTTCTTTGTCTATAAAATGAGTGGGTTGGACTAAATGATTGCAAAGAGGCTTCCAGCTCTGACTTTTTATGTTCTAAGGGCCCATCTGTGATTCTTTGAAACTGATTTCTATCAGATGAGGAAGGGGGCCAGGCATGTAGGGCCAGAGGGAATGCGACAGTTGGGCTGAAGTACATGACCTCTAGATTCTATTTCAGCCAGATTAACATAGCTCTTGTTTCGTCTGGCTCAGGAACCCAGGATGGTGAAGAAGTGATCCGAATTCAGAAGGTGACCCATGGTACCATGCGGGCGGGGCTGGCAGAGCTGGTGGCCCTACCATGCCTCTTTGTCCTTCAACACCCACGGGAGCCTGGCCCTCCACACGACCCAGCTCGGGTCAAGTGGACCAAGGTTCGGGCTGCCTCAGGCCAGAGGGTGGAACTACCAGTTCTGGTAGCCAAGGACAATGTGGTAAAGGTGGCACGTGGCTGGCAGGGCCGGGTGACACTGCCCGGATACCCTCAGGACCGTTCCAATGCCACCCTGGTGCTAGGGCCCCTGCGGGCCAGTGATGCTGGCCTCTACCGCTGTGAGGTGGTGACTGGCATTGAGGATGAACAGGACCTACTGCCCCTGGAAGTAACTGGTCAGTACCTGGCTGGGGGGCTGCGGGTGGCCAGACTGGGCCTTTAGCATGGAGAAAGCTGAAGGTCAGACTTTATTGAATTCACAATTTTGCAATGGGAGAGGGTGCTATATATAAGCAACTCAGACACACATGTTGTCCCAACAGATGCTGGAGTAATCCTAGCTTGGGAGGGGTTGATCAGGGCAGGCTTCCTGGAGGAGAGGCGAGCAGACCCAAGTAGAAAGGTTTGCCCTGATGATGAGAATGATGATGACAATGACGACTGACATAGATATAGGGTTTTAAGATTTGAAAAGTATACTATATACATTATCACTGTGGCCTCTTAGTGAGAGATGCCCTTATGTGACTGAAGGTTTAAAGTATCCCTTACATCCCTGAGAGCCCTGCCCATAATGTCCCTCTTCCACCCATCCCTTCATTCCCCAGGCGTTGTATTCCACTATCGAGCTTCCTTGGGCCGCTATACCTTGAACTTCCAGGCAGCTCGGGAAGCCTGCCGCCGCAACTCTGCTGTCATCGCAGCCCCCCGCCATCTGCAGGCTGCCTTTGAGGATGGCTATGACAACTGTGACGCTGGCTGGCTGTCCGACCATAGCGTCCGGTGAGTGGGGCCCGGGAGATGGGAGGGGACGGAGCCACTGACAGCAGGAGAGCATCAACTTGGGCCAGCCCCTCAAAGCTGTGGGTGCTGCTTGGAGGTGGTGGCTGGGTGGACCTGATGACTTTAGGGAAAGGGATGTTGGTTTCTAGAACCTTAGAATCTCAGAGATGGAGGGCACCTTAGGGTTCACGAGCTTGCTCATTCAGTAGTCATCTTCTTCATCCTTCTCCCTACCTCTGTCCATCTACCTCAGGAAGGCGAGAAGGTGATATGAGCTCCAAAGGGCACGACCGACCTTTAAGCCCTGAGGACTTCTCACGCCTGTCTCTCTTATTCCAATATCCCAGGGGAGTGGGAGACACTATTGCCATTAACTTATTAACTGAAATTGGTCTTCTCTTAGGTATCCCATCACATTGTCTAGGCCTGGTTGTTATGGAGACCGGAACAGCCTACCAGGGGTCCGCAGCTATGGCCGACGAGATCCTCACGAACACTATGATGTTTATTGTTTTGCCCGGGAATTGAGAGGCAAGTATAAGACCTATCAATTCCAGTTCAATACTTACTATTTCCCAGCCTAAGCACTTGCCATGACTGCCCACCCTGTGTCTTTCCTTTCCCCTGCAACCCAGAGAGCTAAAGCAACCTACCAAGATCGTGCATGGACTCTAACTCAGATTGCCCAGCCCAGCTGAGGTCCTTTACACTGAAAATTTCCTTCTCTGCCACTTTCCCTACCACCCCCTCCATCTGGTTCAGTTTGGGATGTCTGAGGGCCCAGGATGACCTTCACCTTCCTGTTCTTCTGGTAGGAGAAGTCTTCTACGTGTCACCACCCAGCCGACTCACATTGTGGGGAGCCCGGGCTCAGTGCCAGAGCCAGGGAGCAGTTCTGGCTACTGTGGGTCACCTCTACTTGGCCTGGCAGGAGGGCCTTGACCAATGTGACCCAGGCTGGCTGGCGGATGGCAGTGTTCGTTATCCCATTCAGACACCCAGGCGGCGCTGCGGTGGTGAGGCTCCTGGGGTCCGGACCCTCTACAATTTCTCCAACCGTACTGGTTTTCCTGAACCCTCAGCCAAGTTTGATGCCTACTGCTACCGAGGTATGCATTCATTCAACAAATGTGACATTCTGCTAAATGCTTGGGCTCCAGAGATGAAAACAAAATCAGAGGGATTAGAAAGGGAAATGGGGGGGGGTAGGGATTACTCTAGCCCCAGGGCAAAGTCTTGCTTTCATTTCCCTTCTACCCCTACCCATTTCTGCTGAAGAAGCAACTTCTAGACATCTGCTCTAGCTTTCTGCAAGCTGATAGATTATTGGGGCTACAATCTGTTATTCAGTTGGAAGTTATGAATTTCCTCTCTAGATGGGCTAATGATTTTCAACCTGTTCCTCTAATTCAAGCCTGGACTCTAATTCAAGACTGAGCCCCAACGCAATCAGCTAGCTCTGAAATATGTGATGTTGGTCACAGTTTAGGACTTGATCAGAGAGTGCAGAAGGTTCATGGCAGCACATCTCCACTCCTAGGAGCACAAACACCACAACATTCATCAGCTTCGTATCCAAGCTGGTTTACTGAGACAAAAGCCAGGGCTTCAGAGACCATCAGTCAGTCACTCAGCAAATGTATGCACCAGCTATGTGGTATTTCATCCTAAAGGTGACAGGGAACCATTGCAGTTTATTGAGTAGGGGAGTAACATGCGTAGTCCTGGAAGACCAATTCGACAGCTGTGTTGAGGTTGTGCTGGAATAAGGAGAGACTTGAGGCAGGCAGACCCACCAGCAGCTATTGCAATAGTCTGGAGGTGAGGTGATGAGGACCTGCACCAGGGTGGTGGCAGTGTCGGAGGAGAGAATGGGCATATATGAGAGATGTGATGAAGGTAAAATCTATAGGCCTTGGCAAGAGACTGGATATGGGGAGTGAGAGACAGCGAGCAGTTGAGGGTGATACCTAGGTTGAGAACCTGGGGGATGGAAAGATGGTGATGCCCTCAACAGTAATAAAGACACTAGGAAAAAGGGAGGGTTTGGGGTGAGGGTGGGGGAATAATGAGTTCAGTTTTAGGTATGTTGTTTTAAGATCTCGACGGAATACCCAGTTTGAGATGTCCAAGACTGGGTCTCATCCACCTCAGGGAAGGGAGGAAAAGGTTGTGGTTCCTCACCTCCTGCTTGTCCCACATGTGATAGATCTTCCAGCAGTGACTGGGATGAAGGATAAGCAAGGATGGGGGAACCTGGGAAGTGCATGTCCATACAAGTTTCTAAGCTTCTCTGATCTTTTGTCCCGGTCACTTCTGGGAGGCCTGTTGTGCTCAGAGTCACAGAATGTCTCAGGTGATGACATTAGACCTTAGACTATAGATTATCAGAGCTGATTTTACAGAGGGGGAAACTGAGGCCCAGAGAGAAGTGATTTGCCCGGAGTCACAAAGCAAGTGAGTGATAAACCAGGACAAAAAATCTTCATGTCCTGATTACTTCATATCCGGGTTTCAATAATAATAATGATAATAATAATAATAATAATATCTTTTATGTAAAATTAGATAGATAGAGGTTTGTGAAGCACTTTACATATATTATCTCATTTGATTCTTACAGCAACCCTGCAAGGTGTTATTATCATCCTCACTTTACAGATAAGGAAACTGAGGCAGACAGAGGTTAAGTGACTTACCCAGAGTCACACAGCTAGTAAATGTCTGAGGTGGGATTTGAACTCAGGTCTTGCCTGACTACAGGTCCAGCATTCTACTCACTGTCCCACCTAGCTGCACAACCTCTATACCATGGCAGGTATGTCTGCAACTTCCTGAAGCAAGCGTAGTTGAGAGGCTCATAGGTTCATAGATTAGAGATGGAAAGGTGCTCGGATCTCCAATTTACCCTGTATATGTCTTGCATGGACATAGTCATTTGTATATTGTCTCCCCAATTAGAATGTGAGCTCCTTGAGAGCAGGGACTGTTTTTGCTTTTCTTTATATCCCCGATGTTTAGTTCAGTGCCTGGCACATAACAGGTACTTAACAAATGTCTGTTGACTAAGTGGAGGCCATCTAGTACAACTCCCCCATTTTATAGTTGAGGAAACTGAGGCCCATGGAGTTTAAGTGACTTGCCCAAGGTCACACAGTAAGTGTCAGAGATAGGACTGGGGAGGTAGATCTTTGTGTCTAGAGAAGGCAGACCCTGGACAGGGTGATCACCCTTCAAGGTCAGTGTGTCTAGAAGGGACAGCTGGTTTTGTGAACTAATCGCACTCTTTCCCCCTCTCCCCCCAACCCTGCACTATCAGACTTGATTAAAATGTAATCAAGGTTTATAATATACCTTGTCCTGGCTCCCTGATAAAGGACCTTCTGCCTCCTGAGAGACCCTCTTCCTCCCCCATCTATCCCCTCCCTTCATCTCCCCGCGGCCACCAAAACAGAGTCAGAGCAAGGAATCACCATGAAATGAGCATGGACGATGATGAGGTCACAGGGTCTAGAGAGAGAGAGGGGGGAGGCCATTATAGCTGAGGAGAGGATAGGGTACCAAATGATCTCTCAGGTTCTTACCAGCCCTGACAATCTCAGCTCTAAAGGGCCTCCCAGCTCTGACATTCAGTGTCCTAAGGGCCCTCTCAGCTCTGACAGTCTGTGTTCTAAGGGCCCTCCCAGCTCTGCCATTCTCTGTTCTAAGGTCCTTTCCAGCTCTGACCTCATACATTCTGATCTCCTCTGATATTCCCTTCCATGGAATCCAGGTCCCTGCCTTCTTGATGCTCCCCTTCTCTCACCCCCCACTTTCACCTCTCAGCTACCAGCAAGCACAGTCTCCACAGCTCACATTCCCTATTTTTGGCTAGAACAGAACATATTGGGACAGGATATATTTATCCCCATCCCCGCCTGCCTTGGGGGGATCCACAGGTTCCGTTCCTGACTGGGTTGTTTGGGGGAGGATTATTTGGGCTGAAGAAGAAAATACTGTTGTGTCCCCACCCTGTCCTCTCCCCTCTCTACTCCCCCCACCCCCAATCCAGCCCAAGCTTTCATTACTGCATCCCTAGTTTCTAAAAAAGGCACCAGCATTGCCTCAGTCACCCAGGATGGAAATGCTAGTGTTCCCAGGGACTACTTCCTTTCCCCCATACCCCATGTCCAATCAGTCCCCGAATCTGTCAGTTCTCCCTCTGTAATATCATTTTCATCCATCCCTTTATTTTCACCTCCTGCCCTTAAATGAGTCTCTGATCTTGTCCACAGCTAGGAAAAATCAGAGCTGCTTCCATTGACTCCAAAACCAACACTTTCTTCATGGTAGCTAGTGTGACAGCTAGGTGGCAAAGTGGGTAGAACACTGTACTTAGAGCCAGAAAGACTTAAGTTCAAATCTAGGGACTTACTGCCTTAGTCTCCTCATCTGTAAAATGGAAATAATAATATCACCTGCTTTACAGAGCTGTTGTAAGCACTGAATGAGATTATAATTGTAAAATGGTATGTAAATGCTGACAGTTATAACTGCTGAAGTCTTGGTGTTCCTGATTCTCTTACAGCCCATCACCCCACATCTCCACCCAGGAACCGAGATAACCCTGCTACTGATGGGGAGGGCCTAGAGGCTGTGTCTGCAGAGGATCTGCCCATCACAAGCCAAGAGAATGTCTTGCCCCTGGACTCCCAGGAGCCTCTGGTGTTCAGTGGGGTCCCTGCTGATGAACACTCCCAGGATCCCTCCCTGCTTCCCAATGAGGCTGGGTCTGGAAAGGCAGGAGGGACCCCAGTTCCATTCCCTGGGATGCCTTCCTTGGTCACAGCTAGGTCCCCGGGGCCAGAGGTGGCCAGACAAGAGGATCCATGGATGAATATGGTAGACAGAACACCTATGCCAGGAGGTTTCCAAACAGAGACAGTCTTCCCAGCGGGCACAGAGACCCAGAATTCAGCCATGGTAGGGACAGAAGGTGCCACCCCAAACCCCAGACTCACAGAGGACCTTAAAGCCAAGGGGACTGTGGCATCTGCCACTGAAATGGGCGTGGAGTCTGATGCCCAACCAGCAAGCAGCACTGCAGCGACTCAAGTGGGCACCACAGCCAGGAGAAGGGGGCTGAATGGACGGTACTTCCAGCAGCAGCTTCTGGAGCAAGTGACCTCCAGGATGGGGTGGGGCATCAGGACAGGCACAAGCTCCACTCCCCCAGGCACCAAGGAGGCCGGGAACCATGTGGAGTTGCCCCTAATCACAGCCACTAGGCCCATGCTGGGCCCCCAGAGCACTCTGTCCAATGAGGTGGACAGACCCCACTCTAGTGAGTCTCTCACCCCAACAGAGCCCTTGGAGGGGACCCTGCAGCTGGAAATTCTCCAGAACCCCTCGAGGCCACCACTATACTGAAAAACCCCTCTAGGCAGCACCCTTGGGGAAGCCCAGGTCTAAAGGGAGAGTCACAGAATCTCAGAGTCAGGGAACTCAGAGGACATCCAATCCAACCTGTTTGTACCTCAAACCTTCTCCAGTGTCCCCAACAAAGGGTCATCCAGTTTCTCCCTAAAGACTCCCAGTGAGAGAGAATCTGCTTCCTCCTGAGGCAGCCGGCTCCACTCTGGGAAAGCTCTAGTCGTTAGGAAGTCTGCCCTGGAAGCAAGCTCAAACTTGTCCTTTTGCAGATTCCATTCATTGTTCTGTCCACTGGGGTCAAGCAGAAAAAAGTCCAGTTGCCCTTCCGAATGACAGTTCTTCAGGGTCCCAGATCACCTTTCCCCTCTCCTCCTTCTCCCCCAGCCTTCTTCTCTGTAGGCCAAACACCCCACTTTCTTCAAAGCATCCTGCTCTGACATGATCTGGAAGCCCATCACTATCTCAGTCCCCTTCCTCAGGAGGCCCTCCAGTTTCTCAACGGCCTGTCTAAAGGCCATGGGACCAGGCAGAATCAACTTCCCAAAGCCCTCTGAGTGCTCAGAATGGTAGTGAGGGGTCCCTGCAGTGCCTTCAGCCCTCTATGCACCCTGGCAGTTGTACTTTCTATTAGTTAGAATGAAGAACAGGAGAGACACAACCCCATCTGAGGGGAGGCCTCCTACAAGGGTTCTGAGAACATAGAATAGCAGAGCTGGCAGGAGCCTCAGAACATAGTCTAAAGAATGTCAGGGATGGAAGGATTCTCTGAGATCATCCAGTGCAACCTTTTCATCCTACAGAGGAGGAGAGTGAGGCCCAGAGGGAGGAAGTTAATGTCCATGGTCATTTTGGCACCTGGAAAGCCATGAGTGGAGGAAAGGATTAAATATGAAAGAGCTATCCTCTATGCTGGCATTGATGTCTCCATCCAACCAGGGAGGGGTTGGGTCTGGGGTCTGGAAAACCTTGATTCTGCTCCTGGCTCTGTTACTAACTTATAGCATGACCTTGAGCAAGTCACTTTCCCCCTGTACAAAAGAGAGGGAAAAAACTAGACTGTCTCTACAATCCCTTCCAGCTCTGATATACTGTGTTCTATCAAGCCTTTCTGTGCCCAAATTAAGGTAAGTGGAGACAGAGAGGTCCCTTTCCTGAGGGCACTTGTGAAGAGGGAGCTTGCCTGTTGGCAATTGGTCTGGTGACTCCCTTGCCATGTCAACGTCATCCAGATTGAAGGAGAAGATGCTTCTATTTCCCAGCCCACCCTCCAGTGTCAGAGGATCTGACTTCTCAGGGGAGGCTGGCAGCCCAAGCCCAGCTGATGCTTTATTTTTCCAACTAAAAATAAATGTTTTGTGGAGGTAGCTCATTAAAACTAGAATTGCAGATTGTAGCAAGCCATTAAGTTTTATAGGGGAAGCCATCAAGAGGACACTCCAGGGAGCAGGCACCTGCAGGGATGTCGGGCTCACCTAATCCACTTGGCATCTCCTCAACCAGTCACTTGCGAACTGTGAACTGAAGTCTGGGCCTCCAGCCCCCCAACCCCTCACCCACCACTTCAACGCCCTCCTCAACCACTTTTCCTTTAGGACCCTGTGAAGTACTCCTGGGTCAGGAAACCTTGAGGCTTAGAGCATCAGTCAGGATAACCCCATTTCTGTGATTTATTATTGGTAAGAGTTATGGGCATGCCGTTCTCTCTCTGGGCCTTCATTTCCCTATCTGTAAATGAAAGAGTTGGGCTACATGGTCTCCAAGTTCCCTTCCAGCTCTGACATTCTATGCTCAAAGGCAATCTGGTACAATGAAAAGAATATTCGTTTTAGAGTTGGAGGTCTGGGGCTTGGAGCCCAGCTCTGCCACTTGTGACCTTGGACACTCTCTGGCCCTCATTTTCTTCATCTGTGAAATGAGGGGGGTTGAACTTGATGACCTGCAACATCCTTTACCACTCTAAAGTTAGGATCCTAAGGTCCTCTGCACCTCTGATATTCAGTGACCCTCCCCATCCTCAAATGCATCTGTGATCCCATGGTTTTGGATTGTTCTTCCAGCACTCTGCCCATACTTTTGCAGAGGGGAACTTGGCCTTCCCTCATGCCACTTGGGTAAAATTGGGAGGGAGCTGGGAGAAGAGGAAACCATGGAAGGATTTAGGTCCAGGTTCCTGGGGAGCTGAGAATCTAGGGGATGTCAGGGAAAGGTAGGTCTGAGAGAGACCCCATAGCTGGAAGAGGGGACCTTTATTCCATGGCATTGAGCATGAGAAAGGAAATGCTTCTTTGGTCTTGTGTTTTTGGTGGGGGGAGTGATGTGTAGCAGAGCCTAAGATGCATATCTGCGAAAGTGAAGCCCCATTCCCACAGCTAAGCCCTGAGGAAAGGGAAGCCAATCAATGTTTTCCCCACCCCCTGAACCCTGCTCCATTTTGCCTTAGCCTACAGATGGTTTCAGTTCTCACCATAAAAGCCCACTTTGGAGCTGGGTTCCAAATGTCCTGAAAGCCCCGCCCTCCCCTTCTCTTCCCTCCCTCACAGCCGACAGTGAGACCCTAGGGCAGCTTGTCTCCACTCCCCACTCCCCACCCCCTTTCAACCACAGCATACTGCTTCCATGGCAACCTGCAGCAGCTGGGATTGGTTGGTGCTCTCTAGATCTTCCAAAACCCAAAGCCAACCTTGGACTTCTCATGGCCCAGCCCCTGGGGTAGAAGTATTTTACCTGGCATGAGGAGCCATTGAGACCGAAGGCCATGGTCCTGGAAGGGCAGCTATTTAATTCTATTATTAAAAATAATATGAATAACTCTCATTGCTATAGCATGGGAGTTCTTAACCTTTTCTGTGTCTGTGCTTTTAAAGGCATAAAATAGAATACGTAGGATTACAAAGGAAATAAAAAATTAGAGAAAAGGAAGATGTAATTTTTTCCCATCCAAGTTCACAGGTCCCCTGAAATCTATCCACAGACCCTAAGGTAAGAACCCCTGCTACAGCACTTCTAGGTTTGCAAAAAATTTTCTTAAAAATAAAGGCCCCAAGCCCGACTGAGGTAGTGCAAAGTGTTATTGTCGCCATTTTACAAATGAGGAACCTGAGACTGAGAGAGACAAAATGACTTGCCCAGAGATACATAACACAGAAGCACCAGGATTTCTTCCACTATGCCCTGTGGTCTGAACCGTGAGAGTACCCTGTCCCCAGATCTTAGCTGGACTTAAAAAGAGACAGAGCTCCCAGGAATATGACTGAGGCAGCCTAGGAAGGGACTGGCCGAGAAGAAAACAGCTCCCTTGTGGTAGGGTCCCCGTGACTGACACCCCCAAGCTTTGCCCAGTTGGGCGTCTCTGCCTCTAACTTGCTACGTGGTATTTTCATTGTAGGCTCTTCAGGAATCCAGAGTGAGGGAAGCCCACTGAGTCCCAACTCTGTGTCATCACCAGCCCCTGAGAAAAAAGAAGATGCCTATCCTGGGAGTCAGGATGGCTCCCAGGACCCTGGACAGGGAAGCTCAGGCCCCAACAAAGATCCCCACCTGAGCATGGAGCCAGGAGACCCTGAGGACTCTTCAGGGGAGACCCATGGTGGTAGGGACATGCCTGTCCTGGCCATGCTTCGGGCCCCCAAGCCACCCTTAATGTCTCTGCCCACACCAACCCTGGACACTTATCTCCCTGTCAGTGTCAGAGATGACATGGGTCTGTCTCTGTATGGTGGAACCACAGCTGCCCCAGAAGTCCCCAACAGTCCTTTTTCCCCCTACACTGACTGTCCAATTGAAAGGAGAGACATCTCAGGAGAGACTGAGATTAAACCAGAGATAAATGGGACTGAGATACCTGCACCATCCACATTCCCTAGCCCCAGGCCTCAGGAAAAAGGAGGTTTAGAGGCTGATTCCTGGTCCCTGACTCTAGGGTGGGACAGTCAGCAGCTTGAGCAAGGCCAGGAAGTTAGCCCAACTGAATATACTGGACCCCGTGAGACCTTGGGGCTAGGGACCACCTCACCAAATGGAGAAGACACCCCCTCCCCAAGTCTAGGATCTGGTCTGTTGTTGCATCAGGACCCAACTGCCGAACTTGAGACGTGGGAGGAGTCTAAAGGAATGGAGACGTTTGGTTTCTATACATCCATTCCTTCTCCTGCTCTAGTCCTAGGAAGCCAGGGCCTACAGCCCAGGCCTGACCCTGAAGAATGGGCCAGCACCAGTGAGCCTAAGTCTCAAGAGAAGTCTAAGCTAACAACCTCCTCACCCCAGCCAGCTTCTGAAGCTGGCCAGTCCCTTGAGCTGCCCTACACTGCCATGGATCCAGCCAGCCCAGACTCCCCCCAGGAAGGCAGCCCCTTGGGAAAGGTAGTCTTTGTGCCCTGGACTCCAGGAGCCTCAACCCTGGCCAAGAAAGATTGGGCCACCCCTGCCACTCCAGAGCTGGAGGGAGATGACACCTCTGGAGAGGGGCAAAAGGGGGCTTTGTGGGAGGCCTCCCACACCCGGGTTCCCTTCCTGCCTGGCCTACTGGAAGACAGAGAGCCAACCAGAGATACTACCCTTCACATACAAAGGCACAGCCTTCAGGTCCTAGAGATTCCTGACTCCCAGGAGGCTGGACCAAGCACTGCTTTGGATGCAGGGACTCAGCCTCTTGGCGACGCTGGGAGTGGAGAAGAGTTATCGATGATGGGAGAATTGGAAAGTGGATCATGGGCTGGGGAGAACAACCAGAGCACTGAAGAAGGTAAGTACCAAACCAGAGGCAGAAACAAGGGTGATCCTCCCCAGAGGCAGGCAGCAAACTCCGTATGACCAGGCCCGGCCATACAAGGGGGAGGAGCCCATCTGTGGCCAGTGTTTGGTCATAGCCCATCATCCTCTGGGCCTCTTTCGCCCAGCTCTAGCAAGGCGCATTTTCTGAATTACTGGTATTTCTGATTTGTTCATGCTACAGCTACAGAAGCACTTTGTAACCAGAAAAAGCCATATGAATGTCAATCACTGTTAACCTTCCACTACATTAGCTTCCAATTACCTATCACAACATGGAAGTGACTCTAGGCTCTCAAAGGCTAGGCCAGCAGAGTATAAACCCTGATTGAGAGCAGGGACTGGACCTCTCACTTCATTGACACAGAGAACTGCCTGGTTAGAAAACTCTCTCAACCAATCCAGGTTGGCACCTTTTCTGCAATTTAATCTTAGAGGGGTGCCTAGAACAGAGGCTAAGTGACTTGCCCAGTTTCACAGAGGGCAGTTAGGTGGCACTGCAGTGGATGTAGTGCCAGGCCTGAAGTTAGGAAGACTCATCTTCCTGAGTTCAAATCTGGCCTCAGACACTTACTAGTTGGGTGACCCTGGGCAAGTCACTTAACTTTTGTATCAGTTTCCTCATCTATAAAATGAGCTGGAGAAGGAAGTGGCAAACCCCTACAGTATGTTTGCCAAGAGAACACCAAATGCGGTCACAAAAAGTTGGATACAGCTGAAATGACTGAACACAACCAGTTCCACAGGGTCAGGCCTTCATCCTATGTCTTCCTGTCTTCATGGCTGGTTCTCTACCCACCATGCCACACTAAGTTTTGAGTAATGTATGGTATGTGCTATGTCCAAGAAACAGCCCCTAGCTAAGTTCAGAGAGGTTCACCACCAGAAAGGTGAACGCCAGGTAATGGCATCTTTTTAGCTACATAAGCTCATGAAATCATCTACTAAAGCATGGAGGAGTTTTGGCCCAGTCCTGGTAGAGAGACTATCTACACTGATATGACCATAGGTCCTTAAAGTACTGATATGGGGGGCAGCTAGGTGGTGCAGTGGATAGAGCACTGGTGCTGAAGTCAGGAGGACCTGAGTTCAAATCTGGCCTCAGACCAAACACTTGACACTTACTAGCTGTGTGACCTTGGGCAAGTCACTTAACCCCGATTGCCTCACTAAAAAAAAAAAAAAAAAGGTACTGATATGGGTGTATGAGCTTTGTCAATCAAGAATTGAGTTGGATTCTGAGTAGGCTCTAGGGTTCTAGCCAGTGATCTCACCCTCTAAGCCCCAGAACCCTAAGCTCTTTTAGTACTCCCACCAAGATGTCATTATTCATGATGTTCATCTTTAGGACTACAGGCCACCCTCTCTCAGGTTCTCTCTCATCCTGGACCATCAAAGACCAAAGACTGAAGCCATGAATAGAACTAGAGTCCCACATGTTGGCCTTATCACAAATAGGTTTGTGTTTTACAGCTGGTGAGGTTAGATTCCATGACGAACTAATTGATAAGCTTGCCTAGCAATGGGCAGAACACAACCTAAAAGAGGTATTGGGTCCTGATATATTGCCTCTCTGTAGTCACTGCTACTGGGAAGAGCTCCTCAAGCCAAGGGCTAGGAATCAGAAGATTTGAGTTTTAGCCCTGGGGTTTTTTCTAGTTGTTGTTTTTTTTTCATTAATTTCTTCTAATCAGCAAAAATCTGCCTTCTTTCTATTTGGTCCATTCTAATTTTTAGAGAGTTTGTTGCTTGGGCAAGGTTTTGAACCTCTTGTGCCAAGTTGCTAATTCCCTTTCCAATTCTTTCTTCCATCTCTTATTTCTTTTCTATTTTTTTCTTCTAGCACTCCCATTTCATTTATAAAAAATATTTTAAACTCTTTAAAAAAAAACCTCTTGCTTCATCTCTTCCAGGAATTCTAGTTGAATTTGTGCCCAAGCTGTGATTTTCTTTGAGGCTTTGCTTGTAGATATTTTGGAGTCATTCTCTTCTGGGTTTATGTCTTGAACATCCCTGTCACCATAATAGCTTTTTTATGATGGGATTCTTTTTTTGTTTGCTCAGTCATTCAGCCTGCTTCCTGACTTTTTCAAGGCTCTGCTCACTTTTGGAGGGAATATCTGGGTTGGTCCTACTGCTGTTTTCTTGGAGTGTTGAGCATTATGTCATTCCAGGATCTCAGGGACAGCTCAGGCTGGAGATCTGGAAATGTTCAGTTCTCCCATTTGTCTGATCCAGGGCAAGTTTGATCACTGTCTCCTTGGTCTGAACTTTGCAAGTTGCCAACCTGGACTTGGGTTGAGCAACAAGCTTGTGGGCTTGCCCCCTCTGGAGTTGCAGTAGACTGCTGTTAAATTCAGCCACTATCAATCAGCCAGCTGGAAAGCTCTGCTGGTTCATAGTGACAGAACTAGTCTTCCCTTTGGTTTTGGATTCCTTCCTTGGTTATTCCTCTATAGGCTTCAAACTGGGCTAAAGGTTGGATCTGAAACCCAACTCTGCTCCCAGGCTCCAAGCCACACAGCTGCTGTTTGCTTATGAACTCTCTTCTCACTCAATATACAACATAGGGACTTGCAACAGCTGATTACCCTGGAGCACCATCCCTGTGCACGTGGTCCTTCCTTAGCATGCCTTGGATCTGTGAGCTGGAACTAGGTAGTGAGTACCAAAGCCGCCAATTGGCACCTACCCTGTACCTTGCACGAGGTCAAGGCACAAGATTTGGGACCTTGTCTTGCTTGAGCACACAGTTTCTGTCCTCCTTGAGCCCTTGGGCACTGGGATGTTTCACGTAGGTTTGCGCTCCCAGCCAGACCCTGACCCCATTGTCCACAGTCTTTTCTATCTATCTATCTCTCTGCCAATCTGGACTAGAAAAATGACTCATTGTGATTTCTTTCTTGGGTTTCCTAGACAGGATTCAGTCTGATGTGTTTTCTAGATCTGTTTGGCAGAATTTTTTTGGGAGGAGTTCCTCAATGTACTTATTCCTGCCGCCTTGCCATCTTGGCTCTGCCTCTGCAGCCCCACTTCCAGTCCTTTCCTCACTACGTGACCTTCCACATGTTATTTCCCCTGCCTGAGCCTTACTTCCCTTGTTTTATGGTTCAGATGTTTTAATTTTGGGGAGAAAATCAGAGATCTCTAAAGCTTAGAGTTCCTGAGGACCTTTGCCATCACACTGACTATTGGATGGAAGATTGGCAGCATCCAAGCAGAGGGGGGTCACTCCCACCATATCAAGGGGTTCATTTTTATAGGAAACTAAATCTCAGAACTGAAAGGGACCTCGGAGGGGATCTAGCCTCACCACCTCCTCAGCACAGGAATTCTCTACACAGTATCTCTGACATCCAAGTTCCAGTTACAAGTAGCTCAGCATCTCATAAAGGCAATCCATTTGGAATCCCAGAATCCCAAGGCTAAAAGGGCACTTAGAGGTCATCAATATACGGACTGGTCTCCAGTTTCTTTACAATGCTGGTGGCTTTCCTATGGATGGTCTCCCCTTTTTTAGTATCCATCCTAAAAGAGGTACCTAGAACTGCACAGAATATTCCAGATGCAGTATAACCAAGGAAAAATACATATGGCCAAACTGGAAGTTTCTCTATTTTATAGATCAGAATGTGACCTGGGTAACCGAGAGAATGGTGATGCCCTCAGCAGTGATAGGGGGAAGGTTTAGGGGAAAAGATAAGAAATTCAGTTTTGAACATGTTGAGTTTAAGGTGTCTATTGGACATCTAGTTTGAGATGTCCAGTAGATAGTTAGAAGTGTGATACTGAAGGTCAGCAGAGATTAGGGCTGGATAAATAGATATGAGAATCATCTTCAGGAGTGAGACAGGGGTGACCAGGAGATAGTGGCAGAGGGCATCTGGATAATGTGAATTGAAGAGAAGGGGAAAAGAGGGAGATCTCAGCAAATGGCTTCTTTTTTTTCCCAGCAAAACATGAGGCAAAATTTTCAGTTAAGAGGGTGGAAAGAAAAAAGCCAAGGGAGTTTTGAACAGGATTAAGAAGAGAGTTTGGAAGAGCCCTGTGGTAAATGGCATAGTGAATTAATCAGGAAAGTATAAAAGGATTGCCTTGCAATGGTGAGGGCCCAGTTTAGATGACGCAACATCAAGTTGTAGTGGACCCAGTCAACATGGTTTCATGATTTCCTCCACCTTCATTCAGCAACATATCCATGTGACTACACTATTCTCTATCTTATATGTCTCTATCTTGTCCATGTGAGAGACTTCATCAAATGCTTTACTAAAATACAGGTATTGACAGCATTTCCCTGATCAAAAGGCATTCATTAAGCAGCTACTGTATACACACCAGGCGTTGGGCTAAGCGTTGGAAATACAAAGAAAGGCAAACAAACCAATCCCTGCTGTCAAGCAGCTCATTAGTCTAAAGGGGGAAACAACATGAAAACAACTATGTACAAACAAGCTATGTTTGTACTGGAGATAATCAACAGAGCACTTGCATTAGGGGGAATCAGGATAGGCTTCTTATAGAACATGGGATTTTAGCTGGGACTTGAAGGAAGCCAGGAAAGTCAGGAGATGGAGAGGAGGAGGGAAAGGACTCGACATAAGGGACAACCAATGGAAATACTCAGAAGTCTGGAGATGGAGCGTCTTGTGTGAGGAAAAGCCAGGAGGCCAGTGTTACTGGACTGAAGAATACAAGGAGGAGAACAAGGTGTAAGAAAATTGGTTGAGTTCAAATCCGGCCTCAGACCAAACACTTTACACTTACTGGCTGTGTGACCCTGGGCAAGTCACTTAACCCCAATTGCCTAAAAACAAAAAAATTGGAAAGGTAGAAGGGGACCAGGTTCTAAAGGGTTTTGAACAATGAACAGGTGATTTTATATTTGATCCTGGAGGTGATAGGGAGTCACTGAAGTTTACTGAGTAGGGGGTTACTGATATGGTAACTAGGGAAAAATTTTAAAAGAGAATA